TTGAAATCGTGGATTTAATTAACGCAGCTTTTTAGTGAGTCGGACGCGCTCTTTAGAAATTCAAAGTAGCAAAGTTTTGGGTGCGTTGGTCTCTTCGAAGCTTTTAGCAGGATGAAGGTAAAGGTGGAAGTCGCCAAGAGGTCGTGGTACGTGCCGTAGCTCCCTGAGCTCATCAGTAACGATAGCGCACTGCCATAACTGTTCCCATAATGGAATTCGTTAATACGAGATGTCGTTCGAGACACCTCGTTTCTGTAATCTTACACGAGCAAGCTCCGCGTTCGATACTAGACGATTCAAAGCGAAGCAAGAAAAAAAAGTACGAAAGAACATGCAATTTCCCTTTGCAGTTCTCGCGGAGATTTTACAAATGGATATTGTAAACAAATGCTATTAGCGACGAAACTTTTCTTCTCTTCTACTGTTGGAAAAGGAATATTTTTGTACGTTATTTACTTAATCTATGCGCAGTAACAATATATATTTATGTATATGTGTGCGAGAAAAAGTTAAGTGATCTTTTCAAGCAGATAGTCGCACGAGTGTTTTTGCATGTCACGCGAATTATTAATTTTTTTTCTTTTTTATTAAAAGTGGTTTCGCGCTGCTATAGATTGAGAGATTATTTCGCGATGCACATGCGAATGAAGAATTTCGATAAACGCGCATGATTTCGCGTCGACGGGTCGCTTTCGTGCCGCGATATAATAATAGACGGAGAGAGATGAATCACGATAGTTTACGATTTTACGTCCGATGTCCGGTGCAGATGTCAATGCGCATTACATCGGCACGCGCTTACTGCCAATCACGGATGGCAGGTTATCGCTACGGTTGATACACAAATGCCGAAGCTTGGGGCGAAGCCGGCGGCGCACACACCCGTGCGATTCGCAACTGCGGGTGTGCGGCGAAAGCCATGCGACGTTCAGAACTGGCCATAGTGCGCGAGTGGTCAGCCGGAGATTACCGTGGCATAATTACCCCTGCACACTGGTATACCTGCAACCTCTGTTTAATCTGCAATTAATGTTTCAAATTGCCATAAACCCCACCCATAGTAACGGATGTCACTTATCAACGATGATAACCGACTGTACTATGTCAGCGATACAACGTGGACTTTCACCGTAGCATGCAAGTGTGTTTTCGCGCAGAAACGATCGTATTCCGTGCAAACCGCGCTTGTATAATCTCGCTAGATGGCTTATCATCGTTACAGTTAGTATCATTTATACGAGCGGCTATTCATTCAGGAAATCATTGAAGCAATCCGGTATAAAATCAAAATCGAAATCACGAGAAATCGGTTAAAATTAAAAAAGATTCTTTTGAAATCGAAGTCACGAAAATATCATTGAAATAGCTTGAAATCAGAATGAAATCTCTGAACTTTTGAAATCAGTATGAAATCACATGGTAGAATTAGAAATGATTTCAGAAATCACTGATTGGATCGTATGAAATCACATTAAATCACATGGTTTTCTAATTGCTTGAAGTATTCATGAAATCGATAAAATCATTTGAAATCGACTTCAATCTGAAATCACTTGTTCATCGCACTCACTAGTGCATAGCCCCTCGCATTTATATGTTCGTATTGAATAATTAAAAGTTGAAAAAAAAGATATAATATATCTAAAGATCTAAGTTGCTTATTAAACAACGTGTACAATACATAATTGACGTTTGCAAATCACACGCGCGATTTTTTTCAATTAACAATTGTTTTCAGAATTCAATCAGATATTTCAACATTGTATCATATATTCGTGGCGAAATCCCTTGAAAATTTTTCGACGATTGATGCGTATGCGTGTCTCAAAAGAAATCCAAATGGTATACATATTTTCTCGGATTCGAGAGACCGCGATGGGATCGCGGTTCAATTTGTGGTTATTATTCGTTTGCACGGAAACTGGTAGGGCCGAAGACATCCAAAATGGCTTCTTTTCTACTGTATACGGAGGCGTGCGACGTCGAACTCGGTATGTTATTTCAGCAAACTATCTACTTAGATACTTTTATATTCAATACATCCGCGAACGGCGGCTGGTAGGGGCGTCTAGTAATCCCCTAGGACACACAAGAGGCCCATCTTGGGAGCGGCGGAACCCGACATAATGTCGGCTTCTATCGAAGGGTTACTGCCGTCTCCGAGGGACGCATAATGTATCGTGCTTATTTTTTAGACAGGCCTATAAGTATAGTATTCAGCTAATGTAACAAATAATATATAGCCAATTCTATAGTACATATAATAATTGACAAAATTTACATTTTGGATAGTAAGAAAGATTTTTTTATCTCAATAAAACATATTTTATACAAAAAAATCTATTGGTAATTTTGTCAAATACAGATTGACAAGGTAATGATACGAAAAACAAGAATCTTAAAAATTTTAGGGTCTTATAATTTTTTATTTTATAATTAGAGAGTAATATGAAAAATTTGACCTTATATAAAATACTTTGTGTGTAACTTTCCTCAATATTAAATTTTGTTAATAATGAATAAAATATAAATGTTTCAAAGCTAACATTATATGTAACATAAAGAAATGAGAAGTTTGTATTTTACCCTCTTGGAACATGATACATCCTACTATTAATGAGGTATGTATTTACAGATACTTTTATACTCTCTGTACGCTCGCGAATGGTGCTTATAAAGGATGTCTCGTGATCCCTCAGGACACACGGGAAAGCCATCTCAGAAGCGAGCGAACTCGCCATAATATCGAGCTTTATCGAAGGGTTAGTACAGTCAGTAAGAGAGTATCACCCCTATTTTTCAACCAACCACGACTGACATGTCGATCCCCATTGACGCATTCGTCGCCATATACGCGAAGATGAAGCTAAGGGGGTTGTAAGTAATACAGATCGACATTGAGTCTATTATCGAAATGGTTTTTTATTGCGATGCAATAAGCGCGAACCCTTGCACGGACCGATGAGCGCAAAATTATGATTTAAGTTTAATAGAATTTTCTCCTCCATACATGTGATTTTAGTATGCGAGTCAACAATAAATACGGTCTATCGCGAGTAATGATTATAAAGGAAAAAAGGAGTGACCATTATACGGAAAAATGTACAAATAAGTTATCAAACATCATTTGATTTTATCACGAGATTTTATTCCACTTCTATGGAATTATTGATTGCTTTATATGTTACTAATATCATTATTTGTATTGTATTTGATGTACATATATAAGGTGTACGATTCTTACTTTAAAATTTTATATTTTAAAATAGAATCAAACCGTAAATTTTTTTTATGGTTTTAACTACTTTTTCTGTGATAGCGATATATATATTATATAATATAATATTGCAATGATAAAACTCTGCGTCTGTCGAACTACCTGTTCCCGTCATTAGCGAACGATGTGTTAGGAAATTCAGTTTTCGCAAGCTTAATTAATGCACTTTTGCATAAATCCAGTCGAATATCAACTACATCTCGATAATAATTTATTCACTGACGTTTGCGCGACACTTTACTTCCCTCGGGTGCCGGGATTTGTATTTTATTTTCATCAGGTGCTCATTCGTCACAGTATGCTTATTTATATTCTCTGAAAAAGTGACATTTTAATGGGCTCTCCTACCCGATAATTTAATATCGGAAAAATATTATACTTTCTACGCTTAGTCGCATCTTTGTCGATTGCATTATATTTCATCTGATAATACTAACTGATTTTGCATTTCTTTTACGATAATATCTTGATACTCGTTCATAAAAAACAATTCATAATAAAACAGACACTTTTGTAAACAAATGCTGCGCTGCAACAAATGTGCTTCATGTTATACCCGTAGGAAATTTAATAAATCTCAATATTACGTTAAAAATTATAAACATTATATGTTGGGAAAACAAGAGGAATGTATGCACACAGCATATTTTAGCAAAATATTTTTATTAATTCTTCCACGCTTAAATTTTTCTCAAACTTTAATGAACCAAATACCGCAAAAATTACCAATCTCGCTTCGTTTCCGACTGCTTGTAACTGTGCTTTTAAACCCTTTCTCTATAATATGCTTCCACAAGAATTTCCGTCGACAGTTCGCGGCAGGGAGCTTTCGAGTTGCAAACATATTACTTCCGGCAAAAAAGGGCTTGAGCATACCTCACGCCGTTGCAGTGTCGACAAACGCGGGCCGGTCTGGAAGCTCGTTAAGTAATTGCTAAGTGACCAAAGCTTGGAAGGTCACTGTGGTAATGCGAGAATTGTGTAGGTACCTCGATACGCGGCGCGACAAGGGTAGTCGAGTGGGAATAGGGCGATAGAGAGAAGAAGAGGGAGGGAGCGAGAGGGTGATAGAGGACGTCTGCTTCACGAAGGGGTGACGGTGAGACGTGGGGTTACAATATACATAATATACATACATACATGACGGTGCCAACATTGCGGCTCCTTCACTTGGACGTATGTATTGTACGCGTGTAACGCGCGTATTAATGCGTTACCACGAAGGAAGGGGTGCCAGCATAAGGGCTGAAGCAAGATCCCCACTTCCATTTCCCTTTCCTTTCGATGAAGATAGAAGAGGGAGCGCGGGAGGATTGTCGGAGGCGCTGTACATTCAGTACCGGTAACGCTATAGCCAAAAGCGATACAATAGTATTAAGATAAAATACTGATTTTATCTATCTAATTTGTTTGTACAAAATATTAACAGAGTTATATATAAAATTTAAATGCATTATTCAGAGAATAATGAATTTAAATTATATCAGATTATATTAGATATATACACACTTATATTATAAAAATAAAAGTTATAATCCTGTAAAAGTTATTTAATAAGAACTAGAATTTTTCCGCAGTTTATAAAATTAGTTTATTAAATATCTGTTTATTATTGTACGCACCAAATATAAAATTCAATGCGTACTAATATGCGATAATAATTTTTTGAAATATTAATTATTTTGGGTGCTATTATAATTTGGATCTTTTTTTTATGTTACAGATCAACAGAGGTTTATTAACTTTGCTGTTGCGCATCGATCGGTGAGTGAGAAACTTTTATTTATGTTTTTGTTACGTCCAGACTCGGGGAAGGATGAGTCGACGGAAGGGCGCAACAACTATCTTTTATTATCCCGAGTTTCGCTCTGTGTCTCATGTCGGCAGCCAGATGTTCGATTCGTGGTTGCTCTGGAGATGATGCCAAGTGAGGACACTGGTAGCACAAGTGCCTAACTCGCGAATTACGGTGCAAAAGCACAGAGTAAGACTGCGTGAAGCTGAAGAGAATCGCCAGGACGTAACATTTTAAAATAACGGATCTATGATAATAGTATCTCAAATGATATGTATAAATATATGTTATATATAGCAATAAATAAAGATATTATAGAAAATATATTAAATATAAATATATGACGTATTAATGATATATTAAAGACATTTATATTAAATATAAATATATGTCATATTAAATATATGACACATCGCAGATCCATTGTTTTAATTCTCAGATATAAATAAACTTATATCTTTATTTTACAACGACACATGCTATGTCCTCGACAGAGAACATCCAAAAATTTATATTTTCTTTGTCCGTAAATTTTCCTTTATATTTCGCAATTTGACGACAGCATGTAGTTTGAATAAATCCGAGATTTAAAGCAAAGACCCTTATCAAAGTAAGAATAAGCCATATTATTCAATCAAATGTAATAAATGGTGAAATCTTGTCACGTAGCAGTAATCTTATATTCAAAAAGAGAAATATACTATATTTGAATTTTACATTTCTCTCTCTCTCTCGAATATAACTATGATAAATATTTTAGACGAAAGAAGATATATACAGGTATATATACATCAAATATATATATAGAGAAATATATACACATATTTATATATACTTTTCTCGAAGTTTTCACCTTTTCATGAATGTTCCCAATCACGTTCTAAAACGCGTGTATTACCTTAATATCTCCCAGTAACAAGTAACCATCGGAAATTCGCTTTTTTCCAATGTGTAGAATCACTGGCCAGTGCCTTGTGACCGTGCGAAAAATGTTTGCACGAGAGTGCATCGATCGAGGTTGCCTGTATCGATGCGTGTACGGCCGATGCAAACGATAGAATAATACGTTGCGGGCGAGCAGGCGTGCCGTAAGAACGGCCGCGTCATTCCGTCGTAATTATCGGCGATTACGCGACGCGCGAACACGCGAGTTACAAACGAGCACGCTGGTAGCCAGGACCGATCGCGTTCGCGCCAGCCCCGTTAAAATCCACTCGGGCATTTTACGCAATCCCGCTCGTGTCGAACCGTCGAAATAATCCACCGTCACCGACTCGTCGTCACTCGACGGCTTCATCGACGGAGTGCGCGCTACGTCGAGAGGATCGCGTCAACGCGACGGCGAAAGTTGGCCCTTCGCGACGGGAAAGCTTTCCACTTCGAAGGGCGCCCTTCGGGGTGAAGAAACGGCCGGCGGTGCCGTTACTGCCAACCCGACCGGATGCATTATGCAGCGGCTGTTTAAAGTTCGCCCTATCCGTCCTTTATCATCGCGCCGTTTTGCTTTATTCTCTCTTCCTCCGCTTTTACGCACTCTTTCGGCGCGTACGACGCGGCGAATGCGCGGCTATATTGGCGGCGAAATGCCACTCGCGCTTACCGTCGCGTCGTCGCAAAGATGTCGAGAGGCGCGGATATTTCGCGATACAAAGGAAAACGTTTCACGGCGAAGTGGATTGATTATTCGGTTTCGCAGAGCCGTGAGAGGAACGACGATTGTTAGCCAGCGGGGAGAAACGCGAACAATGCCCGGCCGCTCATTTGTGCTTCTGCCTCGATGAAAGGATGGAAATCGCATTACTTTAATCATCGCTGAGATAATAAAAAAATTGCGGCTATTGTTTTATTATACTCCTCGCTTTCTGCTACTCTGGCTCTTCTTGTTTTTTTTTTTTTTTTTTTTTTTTTTTTGTTGCCGCGTTTGCCTTCGCGCGGTTATATTATAATTGCCGTTGTGTTACTATGAAACGTGATTTTTAATATTCTAGCTCGGAAAAGATTTTAGAAATGTTTTGAATTATAATATAATGGTTTGGATCGCAGAGTTTTCCATGCATTTAGAAGAAAAACATCTAAACATCTTTCGCTGTAGCTGTATTAAAATACCGTGCGTGATTTAATAATGATTATAATCGTTACAATCTTGTAAATTAATAGACGTATAAATTAAGAAAAAATTTGAAGATCTATATTTCGGTTATCGCGATATTAGATAAGAAAACGTAATTATTACACGGCATGTTTTTTTTTAAATTTCTACTTTGCGTATCGTTAAAGTATCGATCGTATTTCAAGTCGCAGTGAAATAAAGTTGTTCGTGCACGATATTTTCACAAAATATGAACGTCGACGTGTTAGCTGAATGTTGAAGTTTCTTAATCAGTACGTCGCGTGCTTGTCACTTTTCATCTGTGTCGCCAGTGTCACGCGGAGAATGACAAATTAAAAGCAATGGAATTAATTCGATGTCCGGTAGAAATTATGACACGCTACTAGACGATAAGCCGGCTTTCGCTGGAGTCACGATATTTTTCCTTATCATTAATATAAATCTGCGATTCATGGAACGTATAACCCCGTTTGCTACGAAAAAATTTATATCTTCGCTATGAAAAAATTTGCTTTGTTAATATAATTTCTTTGTAATATTTATTACTTCTGGCACAGATCGGTGTGCAGTTTCTACTGTTATTTGATTTAAGAGTTTAATGAATATTATTAGACGGAAAATATACTGTCACGCGTAATATTGAATTATCATGATTAGATCGCGTGCTCTATCACCGTCATAATACACGATCAAAATACTAGAAAGGTAGGCGCGCGAGTATACGTCGATTTGACATGTTCGACTTCCGGAATTAATTTTTTTCTACGAAAAGAATTGTACGAATAGAATCTAAAAATGTTGCAACATTTTCGTCCGACCATAAGACGATATCATTAATCATTTGCCGAAGGAAGGTACGGTGAAAGGTCGTGTACATGCGTGAGATTACGAAACGCGATCCCGGGGACCCCGTGTTGAGAAAGAATCATATGAGATAGCCACCAACACGCGGACAAAGTAGACATATGATGTAGATCCGGTTCCTTTCACATCCGATACATAACTCCGACAACGCAAACGCGATGTTTCGTTGTCCCACGCGATTTTCTCTTAACATCGGGCGCTTTACACATGCGCGAGTTGATTGTATATCGACATAATTGACTTTGTCGGAGTTTACGTAACGCGAAACGTGCGTCCATCATTTTTACGTTATCATGAGAGATTAGAAGCGAGATGGTTGTAAAATGTGAGATTTGCCGCGCAAAATAATACGAGTGATAAAACAGTGAATTCGTCGCGCGTCTACGGAGAGGAAATACGTTGATCACAAGCATACTTTTCTCCCGACTCGCGAGCATGACGACATTGTGCCGGGCGGCTGCGCTTTACGATGCATACGCCGTAATTACGGCGATAATTTAAGAGAGACAGAAGGGGCGTAGGAATTCTCCCGGGAATCGTAATACCTGACATTACTTTGGGACTAAAAGGGACAAGGGTTTCTCGGCCGCTATTCTGGGTCTCGGTATGAAATGTTTAACATATTAACCAACGACCCTGAAAATATTTGTTTGTTACTAGTAAGACTAAAGCCGTGATTACGATCCCTTAAAGAAGGGTAGGCGTCACGCAAGAGATTTGCCATTATGAATGTGTTTCGTAGCGAAAATCCAAGACCTGTTTGTGTATTGGTAGAATCATGTACTGAGTACCGATGAAAGTGTAGCGTCTCATTAGAAATACATCATTATTCAAATAATTATATTTATATACAAATTATTTTAAAGACAACATATAAATTTTATAAAAAGATAATTGGATTAGTCTCAATATGTTCGTAACGAGAGTGGATTAATTTGACACGTTTTTTTCTTGTTCTATAAAAACGTATTCTTTTCCTGGACAAACTGCGATGTTAATCAAACGCGGTGCTTGTAAGTGGTAACGCGTGACTCTTTAATGTGATGATCGGGCAATATCGCTTAAGCCGTTATAGTACGACCGTAATTAATGGATGCGAACGAAGGGACAATTTCGAAATGGCTCTCGGCAACCGTGTGCAATTGCGTCGAGCGAAAAGCCATGGTACGTTCGATTAATACTTGAAAAATGCTAGTGATTTATGACAACATACTAGATATGAAAATTAACAAGAAAGAGTAAAAATATGGTATTATAGAATAGAGTATTGAAGAATAATCGTGCATCTTTGTTGCATACGCGTTATAAAGATTTGAAGAATAGTGAAGCAATTAGTACATGTTCAATTAAAAGCAGGGAAGACGATATCTTTGGCTATATGATTAAATTTATTTAAATGTTATTATTTTGCGACAAGAATTTTTTATATATAATTATATAATATTATACATTATACACATATCACATACAATCTTTTTTTTTTGCTCGAGTGGATGTATTTGTATGCCATCATTTTAAAAACACAAACGCGCGTCAGGGATCGCGAGTGAAAGATACAGAACGAAAGAGAAATGGTGATGACGATCAAGCGTGCATGGTTGAGGGCGGAAAATGGGGCGGGAGAGAAAGAGTCGCGTGTCTCGCGTGTCACCATTCGATTTGGCACCGCAGTAGTGTCGGTCGGCAGCTGGGCTTTGTCCATTTGTAATTCCCTGTATGGAGTACGCGACGTATGCACGTGGCTATATTGCATCGGACACGGGAATGCAACACGCACCATTTCGAATTACACGATGGTGGATGGAAAAAGAAGCGCGGGGCGCGGGAGAATTGTCGCCAGAGTTGTCGAAACGTTGACGCGTTTTCTACCCCTCGATGTCCCTTTGCAGGGGGAGGCGGCCTGTTGAAAATTCAAGCACCTCGTCCCGCGGTTATTCGCTAGCGGACAATATTCCGAGGGTCGCGGAGAATGGAATTTTCATCTAACATAATGCCTCATAAACTTACTGGCTCCATTTTCCGCCTTTTCATGCACAGAACTACGATCATAGCCTCGACATCAAAGGAACAT